ATAACAGAGTTACTCTTTACTCTTAATCGTACCTATCAGTTGGTGTGTTGGCAGTTGACAATTTTGCCACTATATTCTTGCCATCGCTGGTATAATGGCATGTACTGCTATTGTTGCAAACGTGTGAGGACCCTTACAATTCAAGCAACTAGGGCTTGTGATGGTCTAACATTGAGGGCTTGTGGTCTAGGATTTATAAAGGTCCCAAAACTATAGCGATGAACAGTTACATGGAAAATGAAGTGAATTCTAGCATTCAATATGGTTGACTCTACCAGGTTTTACCATCCCTTTACGTAGATGCCTAAACAACTAGAGTAGGAGCTGGGGTTATAGTACACTAGAAGAGCTTCAGGACTGTGACGCGAAATATTCCTAATGTATCGCTGCATTAAGAAAGGGTGTGGCAGTATCCCTCTGCTTTTGCTCTCAGACAAGTTCGGAGTCCGAAAGCCTGTAAACAAGTTCGATCTAAAAAAACATAATAAGAATAACAACAATAGCCGGGGGGAAAATAAATCTCCGCGAACGAGAATACCCCGATCTTAGCAGATTTTCTTCGGCTTGTGCTACTATAGTACTACGACCTGTACTACGTAGTCCTACCTCCTTTCTGGCTCATTATTGCAAGCCCGGTCCATCCCTCAACCCCCTAAGCCCTAAACCCTAATCTGAACCACAACTGCAAAACAAGCCTAGGTGGAAGCTGTTCTTACTAGATTGCCATTAACTAATGAAGCCCCATTTGATAATCCGATACAACCGCATATACCCCTATATAAGCCCATGTAACCCTATGTTACCCCATACAACCCTGTATAACCCTCTATAAACCCATAATTAACACCCGAGATAACCCTGTGTAACCCAATATAACCTTCTAAACCCTAAACCCTAACTGCACTGAGACAGTGCCTAGAGTGCTGCCGCACTGCGCAAGGCGCGCATGCTAAGCCGACATTGCGAAAAACATGTCTGGAGAATACGACGGGTTTTCCCAAAATGTGGGGTACCGTTTTGGCGGTCCCAATAATGAAGGTAGTAGTATTTAGGGGAATATTGGGGTTCCCCTACTTATGGAAACTACCACATTGATTCAGAGGGAGCCTGAACAAGTTGTTATACTGGTGGTCATACCTGGTCAGAGTCCAACTTGAAGTCCTGCCAAGAATCCTCAGTGCAGATCTGTCAAAACTCTGCCCACAAGCACCTTACATGTATTTACAGCTTCTGGTATGGGGATGCTCAACATAAGGGAGGTTAATGCCTATAGTTCAGTCCCTTCCAGGGTACTAAACCCTAAATAAAGCCTAAACCCTAAACCATGGAATCTCTGAGCACCCCAGCATCGGCGACCCCTGGGCCTCTTCCACGCCACTGTACCGCCACTTGGGCGCCATCTCCTGGGCAGCAGCGGTTTAGGATTTAGGGTTTAGGGTTTAGGGCCATTGAGCAGTTACCTGAAGTAACCAGCGTAGCTTGAGAAAAGAGCTTTGTACCTACTGCTTCGGGATCTTCCATCCGGTAAACTTGAGGTATGACTTGAGATCTAGTATACCACAACCCTTCAAGGACTATGACGGAACTTGCTCGAAGGCGTCTAGATTAATATGCCTAATGGAAGGCTCTGGCCAAGAAGTTGACCAGGAATCTCCCACCACCTCCCTGTACGAGCCTTCAGACCCCTAAGACTCCAGACAGCCCAAATGTGGGCAATATCCATAGACTTTGGGCCCGAATTGAGGTATTATCTACTTGGAGGGCTTAGTAAGTGGGTTAATAATGGGGATGCATGGGGTTACTAATTGGCATATAGGGGTTAGTAACCTACTTACTAATTCCCCAGTGACCCTTGAAGGACCCACCTAGAGCCCTAGGGAACAAGAAGGTTATTCTCCTGATGTCGCAGTCGGCCGCCCGGATTCCGGAAAGTTTAGAGGTGAGGGTTGGGCTTACCTCCAGACTCGCTACCACGCCCGCAGTATGGGTAGTCAAGCATCAACGCCTTTGGAGGCGAGCTGAAGATTACAAGTGCGACAATGACCTGAAGGAAAAAACAATTTGCTTGAAACATCTCTGCATCCGCAGCCATTTGAGAAACCCTACGGGTCCAAGTACCCAATAATCATATACTTACCCAAAATCTGCACTATAATTACTATTACCCCGGAACCCCACAATACAAGTTCAAAATGTCACGTTGTCAAGGTGATCCAGAATAGCCCCTCCTCGAATGCCTTGTACAACAACTTTAGCTCTCCCTAATATGACAGCTACTACCTCTATTGGGGTTCTATTGGGATAATGGAAAAGAAAATGCAAAGTACTATATAGTGTATTGGGATTATATCGGGAAACTACTATATCGTATGTTGGGGTTATAATGGACAAGAAAATGGTAAGTACTGTAATGGGTTCTACATACGTTGCACCGCTGATCATTGCTACTGTTGTTGCCACCAGGACTGCGGCTCGTAGCACTAGTAGCAGGAGAACACTAAGGGCCAACCGCAACCGCCGATGGAGACTACTGTTGATCGATGAAATCTTGCACCACCTAGGAACCCTGAACTACTATAATTCCCTGGACTCTAGGGACTGGAAGTGGTGCAAGATTCCCTCCATCAGCAATATGACCTCTGTTATACTGGTATTTGATCTTTTTCTGGTACCATCCACATTGGTGCCATTTAGCCAATCGAGGCGTTTAGCCCCAAGTGGCTTCAAGGCGAAGCATGACTACAACTGCTCCCCAAAATGGACCATTTGAGAAGCTGTTTGTCACAGATTTCCTGGTACCTGAATACTCATCGAACCAGTAGTGATCTTCTTGGCAGGTATCGTTTCGGATTTCCACGTGTTATGTTTGCAGTCACATCGGGAGGTACACATAGGCCCTCTTGGCTGCTTATTCAGACATGGGCAGTCCCCGTACCATTTTTGGCCATCATCCGCATGGAAGTACCTTGAACTTGAAAGTGCGGCAGGCCCTGTAGTCAGAAATTATGAGGCATTCAACCCAGGCCTCGTACACTCCCAAGACTCGCAGGACAAGGGCCCCTCTTAGTATGGAAGGTCCTAAAGGGCCCTACAAACTCTACGAAGGGCCAGCAAGCCTCGTGACTGTGCAATGTCTCCGGGGCCGAGGTACCTACCTCCCTCCTTCCTTGTAACTTGCTAAAACATACACATCTATCAATCTTAGGGTCTCCTCATGTAGCTTCCCAGAACTGGGCCTCCTGATTTTGAGAAACCCTAAGGGTCCAAGTACCCAATAATCATATACTTACCCAAAGTCTGCACTATAATTACTATTACCCCAAACCCAAGTACCTAAGTATTGGGAACTTGGACCCTAAACCCTGAACCCCATATATCCCTATATATCCCCCTAAAACCCGATAAAGATCCTTGTGCAGGGACCTAATTTTTGGGCACGTGGACCCTCTGGGAAAGCCCCCGATCTGCAACTTCAGGGCAAGCGGCGCCATCTGCTGCGCCCTTTCGACTGAGAAGGTCCCAGATCTGGCATCAGCAAGCCAGCAGAAAGGACAGGGAATCAATTCTAGGCTTTTAGGGTTTTAGGGAGCTTAAAGAGGGTTTAGGGTTTAGGTTGTAGGTTTTAGTAAAGGAAACAACCGGACAAAAAAAGAGTAAAAGCACAACACAAGAAGTACGATGCTAGGAATGATTAGTCCTCAAACGACTGGAACCAAGAAGAAGAATCCGTATGGGTCCAAGGACCTGAACTGTAATTACTTTTACCCAAAACCCAAGTACTTAACTGTTGGACCCTAAACCCTAAACACTGAATATCCCTATATGTCCCCTTTAAAGGGACCCAACTATTGGGTACTTGGCACGGCTGGGGTTCAGGCAGAAGCCTTCTGGTGCTGTCTTTGTGACACAGGGCTGGTCAACATATGAGCCACTGTCTAAACTCCTAGTATCCCCCTTAATAACACAAAAAGTAGTCCCGTATATCATCTCCTATAAAACCCCCTTTAAGACATGTTGACTATAGCTCATATGGTGGATACTAAAACCCGGCATGACCTTACTAATCCCCTAGACTTTCGGAATTATGATACTGTAGTATGCTACTTGTGGGGCCCTAGGGTACTCAGGGACCCCAGGGATGTACAGGGGTCATAAGGACATGAAAAGGGTCTCTTAGAGGAGGTAGACAGAGCAAGAACCCACCGCTTCCGGCCAAAAGCTTGGCTCATACAGGCTTTTCAGCAACATGGCCTCTGTCGTATAGTTCGGAACAGTAACGCCATCATCGCCTTGTACTCCCTACGTATCCTTCAGGTCCCTAAGGATACCTCGATGTTGCGAAGAAGTAGAAGCTGTAGCAGTAGCAGCAGCAGGAACAAGAGAGTTTGCAATCATACCTGCAAGTGGCAAACAGGATCCGCTGCATTTTGGGCTGCGGCGCTTGTGTCATGCCCCTTTCTTTCGCTTCCGGTGAGACACTTGCAGAGGTGAGCTATCACAGGCCCCTCTCGCATAGGGTAGCTTCCAAAAAGCCAGGTAATACAGCAGCCTAAACATGTACCAATATCATTTACAATGCATTTGAGGTACCTCTAACCATGATTCTATAAGGAACCTAGAATCACAACATGGGTAATTTTGTAGTCTTCTGCATCAGCCTAAGAAGTGGATGCCAGATGTAAAAGGGTTCCGTACACACACCACGTGATCCAAGGTTTCTTCGGAAGCTCCCAAGGATGTACAAAGTATAATGCCCTAAGCCCTAAGCCCTGAATAGCAGTTTCCTTCTTCTTTTCCGATATCCCTATATAACATCATTGTATCCCTGTGTAAACCCTGTATAGCCCGTACATACTCACCCACATATATGTATATGAGCTATAGCCTAATCTCCTAGTATCCCCCTTAGTACCCCCTAAAATACTCCCCTATACTATCCCCCAGATAACCCCCTTTTAAGGACTTTAAACTATAGCTCATATGACCCTCCCCATCCGGGCTTAGGGGGCCGTCCGCACCAACACAGAGGCCAGATCCACGCAGGCATGCTGTGAACCAAGATTCCACAAAGAGTCAGGGCAACGGAAAACCATACAAAGCTTACCTCAGGGCTCGGGCTTTAGGGCTTAGGGTTCAGGGTTCAAGGCGTTCAAAGACCATGCAAGTTTCAAGTTGGGATAATTTGGAAGATTCGGCACCTGTTTTTTGTTTTCATGCAACAAGATCAATATCTTCTCAGAAGCACTGGTACCATGCAGGGACTGCGGTCCCGTTTTATGCTTGTATTGCCTGCAAACCAGGACTTCAGGCAAAGTATTTGAGTAACGTTTTTTGTTTTTCTTTTTTCGGTGGTTGAACCTAGTAAGATAATATTCCTTATATAAAATACTATACCCCAAAGGAGGATATAATCTTACTCTATATTGGGTACCATAGTATCTCCAAATAAAACACTACTCATTTGGGCTTGAGAAAAACACAACGTCAATCATGAATGGGCGAGTCACAGATTGCCAGGCCGATGCAGAACACAAAGGCCACGGCCGAGTAGCGCACATAGCTTCGGTAGCGGATAACCTGCATTTCTGCGGACCTCCAGGCAAAGTAGTTCTTCAAATCCTTCCAAGTCACGGGCATAGCGGATTCGTTAATGTGCGCCATAACGTCTTCCACTTTCTGTATGGCTGTGTGCGCGTAGAAGAGCACCTTCTCCACATTGATTAGCAAGAACAAGGCACTGCCCAGGCTGAGCCCAATGGAAACCAGTCGCTGCATATCGACAGCCTTGTTCTGGCTGGTGGCCCTAAACATGGCATAGACTGAAATCTGAACATGGATCTGCAACGCGCTGTTGAAGAGGCCCAGAGTGATAACCTTCAGGAAGCATCGGGTTAGGGCATTTCTCGTATAGATCTCCAGGGGCTGGCGCATGTTGTTCAGGGCTTCCTGCGAGGAATTCACTGACTTTTCTTCGCCCATCTCGCTATCTTGCTTCAGGCAGTGCAAGAGCTGGTCCAGCATTCGGTATGTTTTGGTCCGAGGATAGGAGGGGCTCTGCTCGTCTATGAGATACATCCCAAGGCCGCTAGCCAGCATCATGACAGAGTCCCCAATGGTGAAAGTCCCGCCCAAGACGTTCCTGACACGTGAGCGCCAGATTTTACTTATTACCTGACCCTTAGACGATATTTTTAATCTACGGCCCCTCATCTCGTTCGCCTTATATATATTCTTGTATTGTACTTAGACAACACTACCTGATCTCGTTCGCCATGTTGGAAGATGTGCTGGGCTCTTACTGCGAAAGAAACTGTGGCCTATCTCGTTCAATCCACGGCCCCTCAATTGACGGCCCCTATCGAGTTCCCGGCGGAACGCTGAACAGAAATGCAACAATACCAATGCGCCTAGCCTTCTACTCTCTAACTTAAATGAAGGCGGCTACTCGCGTATTTGGTAGCTCTTCCCAACCTCTGCCCCCACATTTGCATGTAGATGTCTCTCGGGAATTTGAAGCAAAGAATCTCTGACAGTGTACAAGTGGTGGCCCCAAAAAAAAGAAGCCCGATATGGAAGCCGAAATACCATAATCCTTGCTACGGGGAGCCACCATCAAAGGGCAACCCACCCAATTTTTGGAAACCCCAAGGTAAATCTACCCTGGTTCTGATATTCACCAGAGTTGTCAGCTGCCGCGTGGTTCGAGGCTTGCCCGTTGGCCTTGTCAACATCAAGCGTGAAGTCCAGGTCCCATACCTTCGTAACCCACGAACCATAGTACAATAAGGGTAACCTTTGGTTTAATTGCACAATGGAACCCAGAATCCCAAAATGCAAAAAGGGTACCACTGGACTTCCTTGAGTCATTCCCCCTTACAGTAGCAGTTGCCACAAGAAATACTAGGGCCGTAATAGCCCCTTAATAAACCCCCTTTAAAGACTGTGACTGCAAGGGGGAATGACCCAAGGGCTTCCTAGATACCCACTGGTCGCCTGGCAGCGACTCCAGGATTGCATGAACCAGAGGTGCAAAGGACAGCAACCAAAAAAACAGTACCTGGGCCGGTTTACGGTTAGGGGTTTACGGTTTTTGATTTAGAGTTTAGGGTTTATAGGGTTTAGAGTTTGGCTGTTAAACGTGTCCGCAATGTTTCTGGGAGCCTATTAGGGGGGGCTACCAACTGCAGGCGCGACTGTTAAGGACTCTGAAATCGTGGAATCTGCTATATCCACGGAATAAGCCCAGTATAACTCTAATGAATAAAACCCTAAACCCCAAACCCTAAGGCCCACCAAATACACCCGGTTTTGGCTTGAAAGGAACGGGGCCTGAGCTGAGAGAGGGACGTCGCGCATGAAGAACACGAAGCTGGACTGCCGCAGAGTAATTTGCCAGATTTCCTGGGTTTAGGGTTTCAGGCTTTAGGATTTAGGGTTTTAAGGTTTAGGGTTTGGGGTTGTAAGGGATTGGGGTTTTGAGGTGTTGGGGTTTAGGATTTTAGGGTGCCAGTTCTCAAACCTGTAGGGATATATTTCGGGTTGAGGGACTGCGCAGGGGTAAATTTGAGGAACTTCCCCTTTTGGATACCTCTGAACGTTCTTCAGGATTCCTACTAGGACGGCTATTCCGCTTGTAGGTCATGCTACTATTTTTGTATTCTTATTGATACCTTACTCTTGCTCTTTCTTATTGCTATTATTCGTGTTATGATGAAGAAGCTTCATGCTATATTGCTGCTGCTGCTGCTGCTGCTACTGCTGCTGGTCATGATCGTTATTCTCACCATGAGTCTAGGACAACACATGGAAAACGCCAGAATATATAGATAGTAGTAGTACAAGTAATAGTAATAGTAATCGTAATAACAAT